CCGCCCGGTGAGGTGGCAATGATCGCGGACGCGTGTATCGTCTTCGTCAAACGGTTTTCACAAATGTGACAATGCGTCGCGGTGCGAAATTTTAACCACTCGTCAGGCGTTAAATTTACCATGGGGACATTGGTCGTTAAAATATTTTTTACGCGGATTGCTAAATTTTTAAGCTGTTCGGCGAACCACGCGACGCAATCGACACTACGGCGGGAATTGTACGCGGACAACGAACTGTCGTACGAACACTGTACATAGTATGCGATGCTGAACACTTGATGGTGTTGATGATTTTGGCATCTTCGGTCTTTGCCAAAACACACTCGAGGTCGGCGTACACTACAAACGGCAGCCGCTCCTTCCTCGTGTAGTTGTCGAAGCTGAGCCACTTGTCCTTGTCGCTCGGCAACCGGATAGCGCAGTCGTTCAGTTTCCCGCAATCTTCCATATGCGCCTGCAATTTATCCACCGCTCTGAAATAATGTAGGCATCTGTAAAAAAAATAAAAAATAAACAAATTTAATTAGAAATATTTTAAATATAATTTAAGTTTACTATATACTTACCGATCGCAAATAAATTTTTGACCATTGTGTTTGCTCAGTTGCGAGCTCACGAGACGAGACAGATTTTTATGCACGCGAAATGTCCAACGCTGTTTTCGTCCTCCACGTACAGCAGATTGACGTGCCTGTCCTTCTTTTTTTCCGAAAGACGCAACGGGACGATGTTCTCGTTCTCGATGATGTACACATTCACGGAAATGTCGTTTGCAAGTTCAAACTTTTTAATTTGATTCACAGTCACTGGAAACTCAATGTTTTGGAGATTCAGCACTGTTGTGTAATGCGGATAGGAGGATTCTCGATCCACATGTATATCAGCGGGGTACAGAGCGGCCACCACCGACCATGCGAAACACGCATTGTCCGCTGATCGCACATTAATCACCGCTCTCTTTGTTACAATTTTTTGCGGTAATTTGACATGACATCCCGCGCGCATTGGATTGTACTTGTTGATATTTACTGTCAAATCTATTATCCGCGACAATGCCCAACCGCTATCGCGTTCCTGGAACTCTTCTAACGATGCTAGCGTGGGCTCGATTACGCGGCGCTCGTACCACTCGCGTACATCGGACGTGCGAAAGAGTTCAAAGTTTCTCGTGTTAATACTTTTATTGGCGCGCTTGTCACCGGACACAAATTCACCGTTGAAAACAGTGTTCACTTTTACACTGGCGTGTCTTTGTAGCACATTCTCCACGTTCTCGACTACAATGTCTTTGGCATTTTCCAAAAACTGACGCGGTTCGATGTGGTCTGCGTTAATTACCGCACCGTCAGTATACGGCTATCGAACGCCGTATCGATTTCGCGCCAAACGAGTCTTTGCGCGTTATTGCCGCCGCCACTGAATCCGCCGCCGCTGCCACTAGGTATGGATCCACCACTAAACATGGATTCACCGACATACTGTCTCTGCAAGCGCACCTTCGCACCCTCGAGTCGCGCTATTCTCGCCACGAGAGATTGTCTATGTCCAATCGAGAGACGCGGACGCTTGGCACGGCTGCGTTCTTCCAGCTCTTCGATAAACCGTTCGCACTTTTGCAGCCATCCGAAATATTCGCCCAAGTTAGCAACTTGGCGGGAACGCTCCAAAAGGTCGCGCTCAATGTTCTCCATTTTTGTAAAAAATTCACTTATTACAAAAAAAACTTCTTTGCACACTAAACTTTTTTTCTTGCACCTCGAATGAAGAGAGCGTGCGCTCGCCAGTGGTACTATGGCCCGGCAGCTGCATCGGTCCTCATTATATATCCCGATCATCCCTTTGTTCGTGGGGATGATGATGCAATTGTTAATTCGCGAGAAATATTTGTGTGATATCTTCGGAGAAAATTTAGATATCGCTGATAATTCTTAGAAATACATAGATAAATTTCACCCCGTCGGATCGACACGCCGGATCGGATTAACATGTCGCAACCTGTACGGATCAACCCGCTTGATTGTCGGCAAACCTTTTGTTCTTAGTAATTCGCAGAATTATCTTATCAAACTTAGATATCCGATTGTCGGCGCTCGATCCAAGCTTGGATTTTGGATTTTGCGGCAGCCATTCGCAGAATTTTTATCTTATCAAATTTAGATGAAGAAACGCAACCCCCTTGATTGTCGGTGCTCGGGATCCAAGCTTGGATTTGGATTTGGATTTTGCGGCAGCCATTCGCAGAATTTTTATCTTATCTTCGGAGAAAATTTATGAAAACTTTGATACCGCTCAAGCTTATCTTTGATACCTTACAAAGACGCCGCTTATCTTTGATACCTTACAAAGACGCCGCTTATCTTGGATTCGAAAACTTAGCTTATCTTATCTTGGATTTTCGGAGAAAATTTATGAAAACTTTGATACCGCTCAAAGACGCCGCTTATCTTATCTTATCTTGTTTATAAATATATCAGGTAACATGATCCCCTTATCAGGTTATCTGATATGTTTATAAACAAAAGATAAGCTTATCTACTGATAAGACCCCCTCCCCCCGCGTGACGTCACCCCCCTCGCCCCCGATTCCCCCCGCCCCTCACCCCCCCTCATTGCCCCTGGTCTAGAACTCTCCTAGTATACCTACTTTTAATATAATTAGAAATTCATTATTAATTAGATATGTAAACTATAAATTCATATATAATATTTGAAAATATATGTGAATATTTAAATTTTTATCTTCTCCTTCCTCTCCTTCAATCTCTTTAATATCAATATGTGTATGTGTGTACACGCGCGCACATTTGTACGTATTTATTTAATTATTGGATAGTTAAGAGTACTTAATTGATAAAAAATTATGACAATAATAATCCTTTTGTTTTTTTTTCTTATTATTTACTCAGATTTTTTTGTCTATCTTATAAGATAAACACTTTAGAGATTGAATATTTCAAGTAAACTAATTGTAAGTAAATTTCACATTAATGCATATAGATGTTTAATCATGAATGTACTAAATAAGTACACAAGACGAACAGTGAGTGAGTGAGTGAGAATGAGAGTGTGTGTGTGAGAGAGAGAGAGAGAGAGAGAGAGAGAGAGAGAGAGAGAGAGAGAGAGTTAACCAACATAACCCCGCACGCTGCCGATATGGCGGAGCGCCACTATCGCCATCTGTTGTAAAACGTGCGAGATGGACAAAATTACTACTACATGCATCTTGCATGTGTTGTGTACGTGTGATATATGTGTGCGCATTTGTTGTATACGTGTGAATACGTGTAACACGATACTACTATGTATGCGTGGTCAATGATGACCATTGCAAACCCATGTAGAATCCTATCCTATTGCAAACCCATGTAGAATCCTATGAAAAATTAATCATTGCAAACCCATGTAGAATCCTAGGCAAAATTAACCATTGCAAACCCATGTAGAATCGTACCCATTGCAAACCTATGTAGAATCCTATGAAAAATTAACCATTGCAAACTCATGTAGAATCCTATGAAAAATTAACCATTGCAAACCCATGTAGAATTGTATTAAAAATTATCCATTGCAAACTTATGTAGAATCCTACATTGCAAATCCATGTACAATAGAATTGTATGAAAAGTTATCGATTATAAACCCATGTACAATCGTAACAAAAGTAATGAAATAAAATAAAAATTGCGCCAAGTGAAAGTAGAAACTTGTACCAGTGGAAAATTAAAGTTGCAGACATATATAGAGTCGTATAATGAATCATTAAAAATTTAAATTTGCAAATGTAGAATCGTACCATAAAAAAACTTATCTTTTAAAAAAAAGATAAACAAGATGCCAAGTCCATGCGCCATGTGAAAAAGAAATAAAAAAATTTTAGTTAAAAAAACTGGGCGCGCTGCTAAATAATATTCTAACAATATTAAAATTAAATTGTTACTTTTAAACTCATTACAGTTAAAATATGTTTTGTGTTTAAATTAATTAATGTTACTTTAAGGTGCATTGTAATTTTGAAACTTAGCAGCGCGCCCAGTTTTTTTAACTAAAATTTTTTTATTTCTTTTTCACATGGCGCATGGACTTGGCATCTTGTTTATCTTTTTTTTAAAAGATAAGTTTTTTTATGGTACGATTCTACATTTGCAAATTTAAATTTTTAATGATTCATTATACGACTCTATATATGTCTGCAACTTTAATTTTCCACTGGTACAAGTTTCTACTTTCACTTGGCGCAATTTTTATTTTATTTCATTACTTTTGTTACGATTGTACATGGGTTTATAATCGATAATTTTTCATACAATTCTATTGTACATGGGTTTGCAATGTAGGATTCTACATAAGTTTGCAATGGATAATTTTTAATACAATTCTACATGGGTTTGCAATGGTTAATTTTTCATAGGATTCTACATGAGTTTGCAATGGTTAATTTTTCATAGGATTCTACATAGGTTTGCAATGGGTACGATTCTACATGGGTTTGCAATGGTTAATTTTGCCTAGGATTTTACATGGGTTTGCAATGATTAATTTTTCATAGGATTCTACATGGGTTTGCAATAGGATAGGATTCTACATGGGTTTGCAATGGATAATTTTTGTTAATGGCGTGCCCTTAACTGGTCGCCTTTTTTTACCTTTTTTAAAGGTGAGTTTTTAGAGATTATATAAGGTAACACGGCGTCAGCACAAGCGACGACGAATACGCGTCCACATACGCGCGAGGCAACAAGCCCAAGTTAAAGGCTCACACATCCTTCGGCTCGCACATTGGTCCTTCGAGCCGGATATAAGCGTATTCACAATTATACGTATTAATTGATTACGTTCAATAAGTAATCTTAATGAGGTAAGACTTTACGGTTCTCTTTTAATCGAGGTAAGCAACTCATTTTATTTAACCCTTTTATCGTTGGCACGCCATATTGTCTTGTTCGCGACGCATTTTTACACTCGCTCAAGCTATTCGTTCCCAGCATAACAAGTCAACAAATATGTCTAATCTCACGCTATCAGAAGCAAAAAATAAAAGAGCTCACATAAGAGCATCGGCGACACGGCTAAAAACTTTCATAGAAGGTTATGATCCTAATCAAGGATCACGACACGACATTACCGAACGTAAGGTTAAGCTATCAGATTTGTGGGATCAATTTGAAGCCGTTCAATCGCACATAGAAACAATTGAAAATGAGGATCCCGCGAATACAGACAAAGATGCCCTACTGGCACGACAAATCCAACAAAGGGATAGCTTTGAAAATCCTTATTTTCATTTGGTATCGCGTTACGACACTGTATTAGAACATTTCGATCGGCGTGAGGCTACAGCTTCAATATCTAACGAGCTTAATAATGTAGGGAACATCGCACGACAATCTCGCGTCAAATTACCTAAAATAGAGCTTCCAGTTTTTTCAGGCTCTTACGAAGACTGGTACTCGTATCAAGACACATTTGAAAAGCTTATTCACACAAATGACATTCTCGATGATATAGAAAAGTTCCACTATTTACGCTCATCTTTAAGGAGCACCGCAGCGGAAGTGATAAGCTCTATAGAAATTACAACAGACAATTATCAAGAGGCGTGGGCGACAATAAAGGATCGTTTCGACAATAAAAGATGGATCATAAATAAACACATCAAGGGGATGTTCGAAGCACCATCGTTTATCAAGGAAAATCACGTCGCATTGCGCGAATTATTGGATACCATTCTAAAGCATCTGAGGTCTCTTAAGGCTCTGAAAAGGCCCACGGACACATGGGACGACTTGATTATACACGTAATTACATCAAAACTTGATCCCGCAACCAATAAGGCATGGGAAACAAGCATTGTCCAAGGAGACATGCCAAAATTGAAGTCTCTCACAGACTTCCTTTCAAAACGTTGTCAAGTGCTAGAATCGTTTTCTAGTAAGTTGCATAATAATCAACAAAACAATACTTCTCAAAGGCATAGCAGTAAGCACAAAAATCAATCAGTATTAAATGTTACGACTAACGTATCTTGCCCTCAATGCAAGGAGAATCATTTGATATACCATTGTGAAGCATTCCTTAAACTTCCGATAGACAAACGAATACAGATAGTTAAAAGAGCTCATATTTGTACGAATTGCTTGAGATCAACAGATCATCAAGCCAGTGCATGTAAATCAGGATCTTGTCGCAAATGCAATAAAAGGCATAACACTTTATTACACTTATCAACTTCCAACAACAATGACAAGAGTCTGAAGTTTAAGGAACCGCTCGCAGAGTCAAATGAAGCACCACAAGCTATCGTTACACAATGTTTATCAACTCATCATTCTGTGAATATTTTATTGTCTACTGCTATTGTATATGTATATGATTCTAAGGAACAGCCAATTTCATGTCGCGTGCTACTCGACAGTGGTTCACAAATGAACTTCATTACTGAAGAATTAGCCAATCAACTGCATCTTAAGGAACAAACAGTAGAAACCTCTATTATAGGAGTCATGCAAAAAGGCTTTCATGCTAAAAGATCGATTAGCTTGCGTATTAAATCTCGTCTAAACAATTTTAGTGAGGTCATAGATTGTATTGTACTACCAAAAATTACTCAGCCATTACCTCAAAATTTCATAACTAAATCAAAGCTAATGATTCCCAAGCACATTAAATTGGCTGATCCAAACTTTAACATTCCGTCTAATATCGATATGTTAATTGCCGCCGAATTATTTTGGAGGCTCATTTGTGCTGGCCAGATCAAGCATTCAAAAAATCAGCCAACCTTACAAAGACTCATTTTGGTTGGATAATTTCTGGTCATATTATAGGTAATAATGTAAACTCTATCACAACTAGTTGTCATTTAGCAGTAACGGATGACTTAAATCGGACGCTTAATCGATTCTGGGAAGTAGAGCATAACATATCATCACCTAGTCCTTCGCTGGAGGAAAGCAAATGTCAATCTATTTTTCAAAACAGCACCAGACGAAATGATGAAGGACGATTCATAGTTCAGCTCCCAATAAAAGCGGATAAATTGATTGCCATTGGAGATTCAAGGGATATCGCTCTGAAACGCTTCAAATCTTTAGAAAAACGTCTCTTGAAGCAGCCGCAAATGTACGCTGAATATAAAAAATTCATTTGCGAATACAAGGAGCTGGGTCACATGTATGAGGTGCCCAGTGATGTGGAGTTCAATCTTTCCAACACAAACATTCCAGCTTACTATCTACCGCATCATGCGATATACAAGGAAACAAGTAGTACTACCAAACTGAGAGTGGTTTTCGATGCAAAACATCAAATGGTACTTCTCTTAACGACGTGCTAATGGTTGGCCCGACACTGCAGGACGATCTTTTCTCCATTTTGTCAAGATTTCGAACCTTCACGTACGCTCTAACCGCCGACATTACTAAAATGTACAGGCAGGTACTAGTAGACCCTACACAAACATGTCTTCAGCGCATCCTCTGGCGCGATTCGCCAAATGAATCAATTAAAACATACGAACTTCTTACACTTACATATGGGACTTCCTCAGCATCATTCTTGGCCATTGCAGCCTTGCGAAAACAAGCCGAAGAAAATTCAACCAAGTTTCCAATTGCGTCCAAAGTAGTATTAAACGACTTTTATGTGGATGACCTAGTCACTGGTGCAAACACCATTCAAGAGATATACACTATTAAGAAGGAAACTATTCAATTATTGCAAGGAGCCAAATTTGAATTAGCAAAATGGGCATCAAATGTTCCCTCTCTGCAAGGCCAGCCATATAATTCAAATCACAAGGAATTTATGTCGTCAGCTGACAAACAATGTGAAACACGCACATTAGGCATTATATGGAATTGTAACATGGATCAATTCCAATTTCCCAGCGTCACGCCTTTCGAACCACTTAAAACAATCACAAAACGAAGTATATTGTCAAGGATCTCATTAATATTTGATCCACTCGGTCTACTCGGTCCTGTCACACTAACAGCCAAAATTATAATGCAAGATCTTTGGCGTCTTGGACTGGATTGGGACGAATCAATCCCTTTAGAATTACACACTAAATGGAAACGTTATGAAGCAGAATTGCCTACACTAAGGCAAATCAACGTACCTCGCAGGGTTATTCCGTTTAAGCAACACACACGACTGGAAATTCACGGATTTTCCGACGCCAGTGAATCTGGATATGGAGCATGCATTTATTTACGTGCCACATTGCCCGATGGAAGTCATTCAGTTCGTCTACTTTGCTCCAAGAATCGAGTAGCTCCTTTGAAGACTCTCTTGATTCCGCGCCTCGAATTATGCGGCGCACTATTGCTAGCACAGCTCGTCAATAAAATTTCAAATTGTCTATCATGCAAAATAGATTCTATTTACTTATGGACTGACTCGACCATCGTCCTAGCCTGGTTGCAATCATGCAACCGTACCTGGACACCCTTCGTAGCCAATCGCGTTGGAGAGATACAACAATTGACCGCAATACAAAACTGGAAACACATACGAAGTGAGGACAATCCCGCAGACCCATTGTCAAGAGGCATCATGCCAGCATCTTTATCTCATCTACAAATTTGGTGGACAGGTACTCCGTGGCTAACGCTTGATAAGAAAAAATGGCCTCAAGGTCTACTTGTCACCTCTAATCAAGACGCATCAGAAAGGAGGTCTAAATGCATCACCACGCTAGCAACTAATGATCAAGATTTTAACATCTTCAATCGATACTCAAGATTTACAAGATTGATTCGAATCGTTGCGTATATCTTTCGATTCTTCAAAAACGCAAGAAATATTGGAGGATCTATTAGAAGATCTCAAGAATCTATTACGCCTGCACGAATAATTCAACCTATAACCACTGACGAAATAAATCACGCCATTCAGATATTGGTAAAACTTGTACAGAAAGATTGTTTTTCAAAGGAGTTGCATTCATTATCTAATCAAGGCATCATATCTCCAAACAGTCCTGCATCAAGGTTAAGCCCATTCATCGATGAAACTGGAATCTTGAGAGTCGGGGGCCGTCTACAATCTTCATCGTTGCCGCGCTCAGCAAAGCATCCCATATTATTGCCTGGACGACATTCATTATCACACCTTATCATAATGCACGAACATGAAAAACACTTACATGCTGGACCTCAAGCTACACTCGCTGCCGTTCGACAGAACTATTGGCTCGTATCAGCGCGAGATATTGTTCGTCAGATCACTCGAAAATGTACCATTTGTTTTCGCAGTGCACCGAAACCAGCATCAACAATCATGGGTAATCTGCCCAAGCCACGAATTACAGTACCCTCAAGGGTCTTCGAAAATTGCGGAGTAGACTACGCCGGTCCATACTACTACAAGCAAGGATTGAGAAAAAATACCAAGTTAATAAAGTGCTATATGACAATATTTGTCTGTTTTGCAACGAAGGCCGTCCACATTGAGTTAGCCACGGATATGACTTCAGAAGCATTTTTAAATGTTTTCAAGCGATTTATCTCCAGGCGAGGATATCCAGCCAACATATACTCCGACAATGGCCTAAACTTTGTAGGTGCAGAACATGAATTGAACGAGTTAGTTGTATTATTCAAGAATCAAAAATTCCAACATGAAATCGCTGGATACATGAGCGATAAAAATGTACAATGGCACTTTATCTCACCCAGAGCACCTCACCATGGAGGGCTTTGGGAAGCTGCAGTCAAAATGGCTAAAGTGCATATATCTCGAATAACCAAAGACGCTCACCTAAGATATGAGGAGCTACAAACGTTGCTTATTCAAGTCGAAGCAATCCTTAATTCTAGACCACTCACGCCTATGTCTTCTGATCCTGATGACCTTGCACCTTTAACAGCAGGACACTTTTTAATAGGGGGACCTCTAACGTCTTATCCCAAACCATCATTGGAGAATCTTGCAATCAATCGTTTATCACGCTGGCAGCATCTGGAGCAATTGAGGCAACATTTCTGGCGACGTTGGACGAAGGAATACCTTCATCATCTCCAGCAACGCAATAAATGGCAATCTATTGATTCATCAATATATAAAGGGCAAATGGTAATTCTAAAGGAGGACAACATGCCACCTTTATCTTGGCCCCTAGGAAGAATATCAGAGATCCATCCGGGACACGATGGAATCGTTCGCACGGCTACCATCAAGACAACTAAAGGTTCTTATAAGCGCCCTATCACACGTTTATGTTTACTTCCTTTCGATAATGAGCCTCAGTCATGACTGTCAAATTATTCTTATTTTTCCATTATTATTATTTTTTTTATATATACAACAAGTTATAATTATTTGTTTATATCCTAACATTTTAAAACTTACCATTATAATATGTTCATTTATAATTATCCTATTTAGATTATTCAAATTAGTTATAAGTATAACAAGTGTCTTAACTTGTATTATCTTCCTACGTTGAAAGGTCACCCTTTCAAGGGGGGCAGTATGTACACGCTACTCGTGTCCAATTAGATTTAATGTCATCGCCTCTATAAATTATCGCACGAGCAATACCGACTGCTGCGCGCAGGGCGCTGCGATCGCCTATACCACGCCTCTCTCTCGTGCGTCTTCCGGTTGTTGTTCGCCTTTTCCTGTACGTTCTCCGGCTGTCGTCCACGCGGCGACACGCAGTTTTCTTATTATACAGTCCGCTTACTACAATAAACATTTTGGTTACACAACGAGTATCAACAATTCCCTCATTTATTCACTATGATCAAGGAATACCTTATATTTACACGAATATAAGGTAACACGGCGTCAGCACAAGCGACGACGAATACGCGTCCACATACGCGCGAGGCAACAAGCCCAAGTTGAAGGCTCACACATCCTTCGGCTCGCACACATACTTTTTCTTTTCTTATTTTCATTATTTTTATTAATATTATGAGAATCTAAAGAAATCAATACATTGTGTTCATTACTTACGTTATTTAGAGACTCGAAAGGAATCGGTACTGCACTGCGTTTTAATCCTCTTGTCGTTTTATTTGTGAAGGAGTCTTCAAGAAAATGATCTTCACACAATCCCACACGTCGAATAGAACTGGCAGACCATTTTTCTATTTTCGTATTTCCTGTAATAAAAACAAAAGAAAAGAAAATTTAAAAACTAATTTATTTACTCGATATGTTACACATGTAATTGTATTAAAAATTTGTAGAATTAAAATTTAATTTTTTACAATAAAAAAAGAAATAATTAATATTTTAATATTAAATTATTTTATATGTACATGTAATTTTATATGCACATGTATTATTTTATATGTATATGTAAAAAATATTATTTACTACGCGAAATTTATTCGGCATATATGTATATGAGTATAGATATGCATATATCTTCTTATATGTTTGTCTACATAAAATTAATGAAATATTTAGACAAAGAAATATTTTTAGATTTTTCTTTTTATACATTTTATACATTTATTATTATTAATTTTAAATATATATACATTTTACATACTATTTATATATCAATATAAGTATCAAAATAAGTATTAGAAAAAAAGTAATATAACCCAAGTATTGTAGTAAACAAATAAAGTATAAAAAATGTTTAAAACTCATTTAAAACTTATTTTCAAAGATATTTTAAAAATGTGAAAATATTTGGTTGCCCTTTTATTCATTAAAAGAACGTTTATTTTAACGTCAATGTAATATAAATATTTATTTAACGTTTATTAAATATTTATTTTTTGTTAATATTTTTTGTTAATATTTTATTAATAAAATATTAAATATTTAATAAACCTTAAATAAATATTTATATTACAGTAATGTTAAAATAAATGTTTTTTTTTTAATTTTAAAAGAAGGGACTTAATCAATTTTTCACATTTTTAAAATATCTGAAAATGAGTTTTAAACATTTTGTTTGCTATATTTGTTTGTTACTTAGGAATATTAGTAAAAATATAATAAGGATAAGATATAATAATGAAAATAAGCAAAAAATGGTAAGTATTATAAATAGTAATAATTATTTTCAACCATCCGTTAGTCATAATATTTTCCCTTTATTTTCTTTTGCTTAAAATAATTTTTCTTACACAAAACATAAAATACATAAAAAATAGTAAAAAGACATTGATAAATAGGATGGTATTAGAATGGATAAAAAAATCGAAATGCTATTTTTTACAATTTTTTTTTACGACAAATTAATATTTAGAAATTTTTGGAAACTGAGGAATTTGAATCCTATGGTTGGGATCTCAGAAATTCCCCTTGTTCCTTCTCTTAACATCCCCTGTAAGAAAAAGACGAGAAAAATATTGGTCCGAAAGTCGGCTGAATCGGGAATCGAACCCGAGACCTTCCGCTTGCCGGGCGACTGCTCTTCCAGCTGAGCTATTCAGACACTTACAAATCAATATTTCTCTCAATGTTTATAACCCCCCACCCCCCACCAAGGCGTCGTACCTGGTCTAAACGCAACAAACATTAATAAGAATATTTGTCAGTCAGCTCTCCTATTTTTTAAAAAACTCCATCTTCATCTCGACTAAGAGCCAAACGCGATGTTATTGCGACAAATTAATATTTAGAAATTTTTGGAAACTGAGGAATTTGAATCCTATGGTTGGGATCTCAGAAATTCCCCTTGTTCCTTCTCTTAACATCCCCTGTAAGAAAAAGACGAGAAAAATATTGGTCCGAAAGTCGGCTGAATCGGGAATCGAACCCGAGACCTTCCGCTTGCCGGGCGACTGCTTCCATCTTCTACAAGATATTTAAATTGTTACATTCGCTCAAATAGTATTATATCGGTCACTTTCACCTTTTATATTTTACTTACCACATTTGGGATATAAATACAAGCTATTCACATCAAAAACAATCTCTGAATAATTTGCAAAACATTCATGGGACCATGTTTCTTCATCCTCAAGGTCCCCAAGAATTATTTCGCATAATCCGCATGTGTATACTTTCTGTCATAAAAAAAAAATCAATTATATCACCCGATGTGTCATTCTAAAGTTCGGTTCCAAGTCATAAATGTTTATAAGAATTGAAATAGATTCGTACGCACATGTTACGGTACGTTTTTCTCTTCCGAAACGACCAAAACATACACTTAACCTCCAATCTTGAATTATGCACAATCATATATATTACCTTCGCGATTGCTTTTTTAATATTTTTTTATATTAAACTTATATTATATTTGGATATAATAACATACACTAACCTTTGGAATCTCCACATTTACTCCTGCCATCGTTTCAATTTTATTTTGAAATATGCACAAATAACCACTCCCGCGTTGCCGCAAGTGAAGTTGGATTATTCCAACTTCACTTGCGGTAACGCAGGAGTGATTCAGAAGCCCCTAGATCTAGTTCTTTCTGAACTGCCGCGCGCGGCAACTTGCCGCGTCCATCAGTAGGCACCTTAAGGGTCGACAGGTCGGTCGGCCAAACTCCGAATTGATGTTGGAGACCTCGCGCGGTGACAACGCGAAACTCCGATTTCAGTGTTGCCAACGCCGAGAAACCAATTCTCGGGTTTTATGCAATGGTGCATGTCTGTACACGTACATACAGCATTGCATTGCTCACGCGGACGCACCGTAGAGAGACAAGGACCGATAATCACGTGTTCTCCTTGTTCCTCTACCGTGCCGGTATACGCGAGATGCCGCCTGAAAATGCTTTCTGGCCTTCCGTAGCAGAAGGCAGTAGCGTAGCAAGGCTAATAAGTACCTACTTTTTATAAATTTTATATATCCTTATGCACATATGTGCGTATATATATATATATATATATATATATATATATATTATATAAGGGATATGTTGATTATTCTTGATTTCTTTTTGATTATTGATGCTATTGTATAATTTGCTCCAATAACTTATAACGTGAAAAAACGTACCGTTGAGTAATATATAATCAATGCAAGGATGTTCAGTATATTGTTACGTCCCTGATCTTTCATCCCCTGAATATCATCCCTTGTGTCGTGGAGCTTCATCGTTAAGGGGGGTTGTTTATTGACAACCGCCCGGTGGTTGTTTTCAGGCTCCATGACAGTTTTGGTCTAGCTGTCATCTCGTACGGACGTGACTTGACCAGAGAGCAATCTTCTTTCTTTCGCGTGTACATTAGTCATTGTATTTCATCATTGTATAAAGGATCATTTCTTCATAAGAGAGTGTATTTATTTCGCGAGCCGCGAGTGAGTGAGAGTGTGTGCGAGAGACGTCTTTAATCCTCGGGGAATGTATCATTCTCGACGTTCCGTTCCGCTGCGGTGAGATATTCCTTCGATCCGATCCCGGACGAGCCCCCAAAATGTTACGTCCTCCGGACGTTCTTTCTCGCAAAAGACGTCTCTCGCACACACTCTCACTCACTCGCGGCTCGCGAAATAAATACACTCTCTTATGAAGAAATGATCCTTTATACAATGATGAAATACAATGACTAATGTACACGCAAAAGAAAGAAGATTGCTCTCTGGTCAAGTCACGTCCGTACGAGATGACAGCTAGACCAAAACTGTCATGGAGCCTGAAAACAACCACCGGGCGGTTGTCAGTAAACAACCCCCCTTAACGATGAAGCTCCACGACACAAGGGATGATATTCAGGGGATGAAAGATCAGGGACGTAACAATATCATCCAGTAAATTAGAGTTCAAATATATCAATATCAATTTTTTTATAATACAATATATATATATATATATATTGGAATATAGAAAAATAATAAAATATATTTCGGCGATTTAAAAATTTTTTAATATATTGAAAATATTTTTACTACATATATATAAGTGTAAAATAATTCAGAAAATAAATTTAATAAAAATCTACATACCAGCTGTGTGCATGTGTGCAATTGATTTATTGAAATTTATTTACGGAAGTATTTTGCATTTATATATTTATAGTGTGTGTAGTTGTAAAATGATTAAAATATTTTCAATATCAAATTTTTAAGTTTATCGCCTATATAAAAATATATTTCTATGATTTTCTATATTCTAATATATTATAAAAAAATTGATATTGATATATTTGAACTCAAGTTTTTTACGTGATTAAATATTCTTGCATTGAGCCATCATACGTTACTCGTAAGTTCTTTCATATCTGTATATATATATATATATATATATATATATAAATTTATATAATTATATATAACAAGCACTTTTACTTAATTATGTATAGACATATTTCATAATATAATTCTG